TATCCATGAAATCTACTGCAATGGTTAAAGGGGGACAGTGCAAATACATATATGATTAGCTCAACTTCCGTTTTGCACATGCCTTTGTCGGAAACTGTGTTATCACTCCAACGGCCGCTGGGAAAACTTGCATTTTGAAGACCTTAGTTGATATGAAAATCTGATTAGCAATATACTTTCTTCGTTTCAGCAATATCCTCTCAGCTCTTCTTCCTATGAGTGAATGAATCAATCCATCCGGCACAAATATGCCGAGCATTAAGGCGACATGTTTGAATATGGTAAAGCTCAAGCGAAGCCTGGGATTCTCCAGTCAATACGCTTTCTCCTATGAAAGCTTTGCGCCCACTCAGTTCAAAAAATAATCTGCTTAGGCGTCGATAGTGGAGAAATGCCAATCTGGATTATACTTCGTAGGATTAGATCGCAGGAGTAAACGTTTCAAGATATCTTTCTAGTCACAGCCAGTCGCAGTATGCAAAACTAGTGAGGATGTGGATCGTACTTTCTAGGAAAAAGTTCAGAAGGAAGAGAGAGAAAGTGAGGATGAATAGATTTCAAATTTTAAATTCAAATTAAAAAGAATAGATAAGAAAAAACCTAATACGAGGTGAAGTTTGCTCCATCTATAGGTAAGAGAGTGGAGTTTGGGATTTTCTTAGTTTCCCAGGCTGTTGCGGTATGCACTTGCACCCGCAACGTCCTTCTTGTCTGGGTCATCGCTGTCTGGGTGGTGGTCTTCACCTCGCTCGGACTGGCAGTTCGAGAGCTTTACCGACAGCTGGAGCGCCGTACACGAGACCTGATCCCAGTGTTAAGCGAGCGTCAATCGGTCTGCTTTGGAGAGCTGCAGTTGAAGACATGGTCTAGCGAATCCAGAACTCTGACCTTAAAGTTCTGCGTGGCGTGTTATTGAAGTTTTGAGCGTAATGTACCTCTCGTTGACATGCATGGATTGTTTATCCGTAAGCGGACTATCGAGTACTAATGAACTTCTACTAAAAGCCCTCTCAATAAGTCGCTTACTCTGAAAGTACAAGCTTTTATGGGGTACAAAGAGTTAGTTGGGCTCCCTCACATGATTAATGCAAGGGAACAGCGGCACTACAAGAGGTGGGTCGCGCTGTTAAGTACATAGTACCAACGTAGGCCCGCGCGTTGAAAGCCGACTGATAAAGATCCCCCGTCACACTGAACCCAAACATGTCTCAAGGTTGCAGAAGTATCTGTGCTAACGCCAAGGCGTCACTCGGGAAAAATAAGCATACCGACCACTACAGCTCTCTTCGGAAGCAGAACCTCGAAGAGTTCGTGTCGCATGCGAGGCTAGGCAGGAGTTATCGACCTTGGTCAAAGAGGATAGGAGACACGACTCTAAACGTAGATGCTAATGGGAGTCAGAGAGGTTGCCGGATCTGATGACGGTAATCTCCGAGCTTAATGGTCTTCCACAAGCGCCGATGGAAGGGGTTTTTTTTTTTTTTATTTTTTTTTTTTTTTTTTTTTTTTTTTTTTGTTTTTTAAGACCAGGGAAATCGGGGAAGGTGTCAAGCTCTACTACAATGGAGAAGACACCAAGCGGAACGGCGTGGCCATAGCGGTAGCGGAGTCGCTCAAGGACTATGTCTCCGCTGTGAACAGGATCAGCGATCGGATCATGGCTGTGAGGATAGACACGAAGGAGGGGTACTGGACCATACTCTCCGTGTACGCACCGCAGCGGCTGGTGCCCCAAAAGTGAGAAAGGCGAGCTCTATCTCGGGCGTTGCAGTGTCATGAGAACGGCAGGGTAAGATCGAGAGGAGGATAGTATAGTGCGACAATTGCACCAAGACACAGGAGCGACCATAATGGAAAGTGGTTTCCTAGATGTGGACTGACCAGCACAGTGGACTCGGCATGCAGCTGAGGTGCTAAGAGTGGGACATCCTAACGGGGGCACGCTGATGGTGAGCTGCCTTCTGTCTTCCTGCTAACACTAGATTTCCTGCTAAGGGCTAATGAAAGGACCTACTGAAGTCCACATCTACCGCCTAGACGACATCGCCTCTCTCGAGAGGCGAGTAGCAGAGAGGAACTTCAGTGCAAGGTGCAGAAACGGCCAGATAGTGCTGGCAGAAGGTAGGTTCAGAACGACGTCCTGTTAGAATCACGTTGTAGCATCCCTACACTACAGAAGGTGAGTCAGGTGTATGGCTCACACCAGAAGACTAATCGAACCAAGACACTGACCCTGTTTATCCATCAACGCTTCGGTAGTTGTAGCCGTTCAAAATATTCTGCTTTGTTGAAGCGGTCTCCATAGCAACAGTGATGCAGCACTACGGCGGCCAGCTATCCCGACCGTTTTAGCCGCTGTCCACCCAAAATGTCATCAGAGTCATTGAAATTTATCGTCGAAAGTCTAAACTCGCCACCGTTCAACTGCAATACCTCCCTAATCGGTTTCGATACGTGGCCACCGAACGTTTTGCTACAGCAGCTGAGCGATGTGATCAGGTAATCATTGTTTTAAACCCGGTTTTTAATGAATCTGAACAGAAGGTCTACTTTTCAGCTGATGCAGCAAGCAAACTTTTGACATCTCTAAGGAAACACCGACGAAACCGCTGCTCAGCATTCTGTACAACCTCAAATTCTCCGATTCAACCTTCCTTCTGACCATCGACAGCTTTAAGTAACCTAGTATAGGCATCCCTAATGGCTTGAGAGCAAAAAAAATTCAGAGAAGAATGGAGAGCAGGTCTGGTCGAAGGTGCAAAGAAGTCCATTTATCCTGTGCTTGTCTACTTATTCTCCAACAGCGATATGCTTAAACAGAGGGCCTACCTCGCCAAGTATCTCATACAGGTTCGCTCTCGAATAGCTGCCTCCAAAGTGTTAGGTTGTCCAATGAGTAATGTCGTTTCCCTTCACAGTCCCTTTTCAAGAAACGACATTGCTTAATCCGAAGTTTTTTTTTCTGTCAAATCCCGTGGTTCTACGTAATGTTACGTATAATCCGAAAGAAAATTGTCCACACGACGAAATCTTGTTTTCTACATTCATAGAAAACTGGTTAAATTTCAGGTTTGTAAATGAGAAGTTTGTAAAGCAAAAATGAGCCCAGACTCAAACTCCCTTTCCACTGGGAGAAATCGATCACTGATATACGGTGTACTCAGCCATGACCTCTTATGAACATTCCGATATCAGGTTACCCAACCGTGTCGTGTTTCTTTCCGAATTCAGCTTCTCTGGTCAACCTCTAATTCACAGACGTTCTACGAGCTGACATTTTTCTCTGGAACCACCGTGTTTGTGTATTTAGGTTACTGGTTCTATCGTTTTTTTCCTGGCTCTATTTGCTCTGCCGCCTTAAACTCTTCCATTATGTATTAGATCGAATTTTAGGGCTACGATATAACGTGCTCAATCTCCAGAATGCCCAGATTATTCCAAAAAAAAATATTCCCTAACCAACTGATGAAAACAATCGTACTTGCTTCCTACAAGGGAGGTCTTTCAGGTGCGCTTTTTCAAAACGGTTTTGTGCATATTGTAGGGACGCATGTAGGGAACGCAAAACCATGTTTCATTTTCGCTGAACGGTTATAGCAGTACCAAAAAAGAAGCATAAGGTACTGTTAAGGGTTCGATCCCCCGTGGCGACTAAATTTTGCATTTGGGTTGGCGCCTACGGTTTGGTGCCAAATCGCGCTAAATATCAAAATCAGATGTCAAATTCATCGTCAGGACCATTTTGAAGCCAACAAGTGGCCGCCAACCTTGATTGCAAATTTAGTCGCCGCGGGGATTGAACGCATCAAAAGTATTTAAAGGCACAACCCAGGCAGAGGTTTTTTATAACTCTTCTCTTCGGTCAGAAGTATAGAACCCTAGGGGACAATCACAAATGTGGCGTTCACGTGCACGGAATTCGACCGACAAGAACGCTTTGGGCTTGCAAAGTAAGCTGCTCGAGCTGCAGCGAAACGAGCTCTCTTATCAGGCCGTTGTCTGGTGCTCTCTCATCTGATGCGCTCTCTCGCCCCATACTCTCCTCTTCGCGCTTAGTCTCTCGTTCCTTTAGCACAGCCAATTAGGAAGGTGAGTGAGCCCTCAACCTGAGCGTTTTCGACGGATTCTTTTCCTTTTTTCTTCACTGCCGGCCCACTTGGCACCGATACATTCACATTCGTGTGCAAGAGCCACACCAGTGCGATCCTGGGGCATGCTACCCTCTTTTTGGCACACTAAAACCTGTTCAGCGAAAACGAAACATGGTTTTGTGGTCCACACATGCGTGCAACAACATGTACTAAACCGTTTCAAAAAGCAACAACTTGCCCTTGAAAGACCTTCCTTGTTAGACTAAGGCCACGGTTTTCCTCCAGATATATTTTAGAACATCTCAGTTGTTAAAATTTTTTGGGTCTCACCTGAGTTTTGGCGGAAAAAAGCTGGTTTGAAAAGAAATCGCACGACTTTTTGAACATCCAAATATCGGATTTTTTGGAAAAGGTTATGACTGAGTAAAGGGTATACCATCGATCGATTTCTCCTTTTGGAGAAAAGAGTTTCCTAATTTTCGTGGGCAAGACTTGCTCTTTTACAAGCTTGAACCCTCCACTCAAATAAATCTAGAAAAGAAGTGGATGATTCTATGTACTTAGCGGACAATTGTCTTCGAGAGTGGTATGTAATATTTTGTAGAGTTATGAAAATTTAGAGGGAAATTTTTCATTCAAATAAAGAGCGACATTACTCAAAGGACAACCTAATAGACAGTTAAGGACTTCAATTAGCTATAGTTTGGAAATATTTCTCAATTCGATGCATTCATTCATGATTGCTAATTGCATGTAATGAGATACGTTAGAAATTGAACCTTAAACTTTAGGATGAAATTCCTAACAATTTGATGGACAACGATGTGACTCAACTGCGAAATGATCTTGCGCAGTACATGGAAAGATTCAAGGTACAGAGCTTTTTTGACAAATGATTTTTAAACAGGTGAAGGAGTTTCA